GCCCCCTGCCGCCCGCCGCGCGCCCGTCTCCCCGTCCGCGGGGCCGGGGCCTGCTGGGGCTGCCCGCGGAGAAGCTGGGCTGGGGGCACCTTGGGACCCCGACTTCCTGGGGTCTCCGGCGGCGAAATCTGAGCCGCTTGGTTTTTACGGCATCGGGAAATTTCAGGTCAGTGCCTCCATGGGCATCAGCCGCTGGACGAGCCAGTGTAAGGAACAGTGCGGAGCAGCCCCTGGCCACGGGGTGGCGCTCGTGGCCTCTAGCACGAGCCTCTGAGCGGTGAGACAGGGTTAAGCTGTCAGTGGGTTGCAATTTGTTACAGCAGCAATAGGAAACTAATGAACTCCCCGGCCCCGCGAGGAAACAAAGCCCACATGTGCTCGGAGAGTTCGCTCCTGAGAGCCCGACAGGTTCCCTTGGGAAGTTGCCTCGCTGGGGCCAAGGCAGAGAAACTGATCTCCTGCCGAATGTGGAACCCGAGACCAGAAACTTGCGCCCCACAGCCAGCTAGTGGTCTCTGGCCAGTGGTACCCGGGAGGCCCTCAGGGGGCCACAGCCCAAGCGCCTTTCTTGGCCCTGGCTGCACCAGGTTGGTCTCTCCCGGGAGCCTGGCTCTGACTTCTGAGGCTGCAGCAGCAGGGTGGGCCAGGCCTGCTCCCTGGGGACCAAGGCTGCTCACACCTCCAGTACATGCCGCCCCCAGCCAAGAGGCCTGGGGGTAGGTGCACAAGTGTGTGGTGGAGGAGCCTGGGTTTCTCAGTGTGTGGCCCCCTCAGGCTTCTGACCTTGCAGGGGTTAGAGATCACTAGGGTTCCTGGTATAGTGCAGTCGCACAGGGGCACGGTGGGGTCTGCAAGTGGACAGGCCCCAGACATAGGTCCAGTCATGTGGTAGGTGCAGGCCTGCAGCAGAGGGGTCTTCTGGGTTCCTAGTGCATACCCCACCCTAAGCCTCTCCCGGCCCTGCCCCTGTGGTCTGAAGGTTGTCATAGAGGGGAGGTATGGGTGAGGGACAGCAGTCAAATGGGTCAACGTGACACTAGCCTGCATGGGTACAGGCAGGAGGGTGAGCTTTGGGCGCACTGGGTATGGTAGAGGGGCAGGGGACCACCTGGTGACCCCCGAGGCACAGCCCGCAGCTGACATACCTCTGCCTCACCCCCTGTGCCCCTTCTAACTGGCTCCCCAGCCTCGGCTGGGCCTCTGCTGTCGGACCTGCTACAGGTAGTCCAGGTAGTCCAGCGGGGGTGCGAAGTGCAGCCCCAGGCCGGGCCCCTTCAAGGCAGGGGTGGGTGACGGCTGCCGCAGTTCTGGGCCCTGGGAAGCTTCGGTCAAAACTGAAGTGGGGCTCTGTGGCCTCCATCCCGCACCAAGGATGCGCCCCTGGGTCATGCTGCTGTGCGCCTGCCCTGTGCCCCAGATGGCCCGGAGCCAAGAAGCAGATGGAGGTTGGGGGACTCGTGTTTATTCAGCAGGCAAACCAGGATGGCCAGGAGCAGTTAGTGGGAAAGGCCTCTCGGTGCTCTTGCTGGCTTTGGGCTGCTGGGGGGCAGCTGGGCCGCACCTGAGGCAGAGGCTGCCGGCGATGGGCTGAGGGAGACAGGGGGTGCCTGAGGAGAAGGGACATGGGAATGAACCAGCAGCAGTGCTGGGTGGGAGAGTGAAGGCAGGCCCGGGCACCCCACCCACCCTGCCACCTCTAGCTCCCATCAGCCCCCGCCCCAGTCTACTCACTGACGCACGCTCACTGGTCATCGATACATTGGTCTGGGGGGAAGGGAAGATGTCCGTCAGAAGGGGCAGGGTGTATAAGAGAGACCCCTGACCACCAGAACCCCGCACTGCCCCAGGCCCCAGCCTGGCCCAGCAGCCGATTTGAGGGTTCCTTTGATGGATGAGGAAACAGAGGGGCCAGTGACAGGGACAGGGACCTGGTGGACAGTGGTCAGCCCCAGCCACACCAGACCGCCCGCTGCTTCACCCAACGAGACCTGGTGAGCTCAGCCTTGGGGTGGCTCTCAGAATGGCCCGTATGGAACCCCCTGCCCAGGCCAGGCTGCCTGAGGGTCAGGGCACCTCTCAAGTCAGAGTGCGCAAGCCCAAGGTGGCGCTCCGGGACAGCTAGGTTTGAGGTGTCGAAGGAGCCAGCCCCGGGCGATGCCATGAGGAGCACTTGACCTGGGCTTGAGCTAGACGGTCAGGGAGGAACGCTTGGGGTCCATTCCCCTGCCTGCTTCCACCCCAGGGTGGGGCAGGGTCTCTGAGAGCCCAAAGTGATTCTCAGTGCCTGGAGCAGGGGACAGGGTCCCTCCTCTCCCCCTTGCTCCAGGGGGACCCAGCAGCTGACACAGTTCCCCCCCCACCCCTGGCTCCCTGCCCTGGCCATTACCAATGGGGACAGGGAAGATGATGTAGTCATCAGTGAGGCCCAGGGACTTGGCAAAGCGGATGAATTTCTCCTTCAGTTCAGGGGTCAGCTCCTTGGTCCTCCCTGTGGCCGAGATGGCCGGCGAGTGGCCGGCGGAGAAGCCATAAACATTGTGGCGTGCTGACCGCCTGCAGCCCCGGCCTCACAGAGGGGTCTCGCCCTTGGCCTCTCGGGGCTTCGGAGTGGAGCTGGACCTGGACACTTTGGGGTCTGGGTGGGGATCGGCCTCACATTGGCCAACCACACCCCGCCCCAGGGTGACCAGCAGCCGGACCCACAAGGAGGGACAAGGACCCACCATAGAGGGTGGCCTTGAAGTGTTCCTCCTTCCTGACTTCCTTCTTGAAGAACACCATGGCGAACTGCGTGTAGTCGGTGGCTGCCACTCGCACGGTGTAGCTCCGGAGGCCAGGGTACCCTGTGGGAGGGCGACGAGGGGTCACCTGGCCCCCGCCGGGCTGCAGGGAGGCACTCCTTTGTGGCCCCAGAGTCTGTGGGCCTGTGCCTCTCCTTCCCAGGGCCCATAGCACCCAGGACTCACGTTTTATGTTCCCCAGGTTGAACTGGCCAGGCTGAAAACTTGGGACAAAAGTTCTGATCCAGTAATCGCAGCCCTGGTCCCTGTGGCACGAGAGATGGTGGTGGAGAGGGAAGGGGGCATGGCTCGGACCCTGGGCTGGACAAGCCAGGCGTGAGGCTGGGCCGGGATTCCGAGGCCCCCGTCCAGCCCGGCCCGTGGAGGCTTAGACTGGCCTGGGCCTCGCTCTCGGCCTGCCGGCCACACACTACATGACTCTTTTCCTCTCTGTCATCTCTCCTGCGTCCGTTCCCGCCAAGGTCCAATGTGCGCCATGTCCAGGACACCCTAGCTCTTCAGCCAACCCCGACCTGTCAGCAGAGTCCCAGCCTGACCCTTGGCCCCCAGAACTGATCTCCCCAAACCCGTCCATCTACTCTTTACTCCACCAGTGCTCCAGCGTCCCCCCTAGTCCCGACCCAGGTACCAGAGCCAAAACCCATAGAGTGGGGTGATGCCCGGCTCCCTTCTCCCAGCCCTACTCGGCCCCCCTGCCCCTCACCTCCCACCTGTGGCCGGCCGGCCTCTCGGCTGCACCCCACTGTCCTCCCCACTGCAGCGCGTGGCCCTGCTCCAGCCCAGATGTCACTAGCGCCCTCTGCACTGCTGAGGCTTCTCCTGCAGCCCTGCAGCCCTGCAGCCCCGCCGGTGACTGTCAGCTCCAGCTCAGGGCTCCATGTCCTGCTGGAGGGCCCTCCCCCCCCCAGCTCCCGCAACGTCCAGTCCTGAGCCCTCCAATGAGGAAGTGCTCGACAGAGCCCTGGGTGGGTTTGGGGCTGAATCCAGGGACCCTCCTCCCACCCGACATCCCGCTTGCTGCTCTCGCCCGGAGATGCTCTGACTGTGTGTGTGCTGACGTGACCAGGGCCGCTGCTGGAACAAACAAACCCAGAGCTGAGCAGCAGGGCAAAGAACTCAGCTTCAGGCTGAGATACCTGTTTTGAGGTGTCAGACCCTGAGGCAGGCCCCCCGAGTCCTGATGCTCCCCCAGAGGTGGCGGCTCTCACCCGAGCAGGATGGAGGTCACGTTGTAGCTGTGGTCTTCTTTCAGCTTGTAGATGGTGGTGTACATCTTGAACTGCTTATGCTTCTCTTTATGAAAGTTGTTCCCCGCCACGCCCAGGACATACCACTTCCCCTGGAACTACAGAGCCGCTGATGGTGCCGAGCCCAGGGCAGGCCCAGAAGGCTCCTCTGGGCAGCTCACCCCAAGCCAGGAGCCCCCTGATTGGACATCAGGCCTGCACTAAAGAAGCCGGCAGAAGCTGAGGCCCCAGGCCAGCAGGAGGCCTGAGTCCGGCGGGGACGGGTGACTGGCAGTGACCAGCTGGGCTCTCTGGGCCAGTCCTTCCTCATGCAGAGGGCCCCGGGAAGGCTCAGCCTTGTGGGGGAGATTAGGGACCTGGAAAGTGACCCTCTTATCAGCAAGGTCAGGATGGGGATGGGGCAGGAGGGGTGGTTTCCCGGTGGGGATCGGGACAGCCGAGCTGGCCTGGGTCCAGGACTGCCAGAATCCTGCCCAGCTGTGCTGAGAGGCTTCCTCAGACCCCTCTCACTCCTGCCTGTGCCCCGCCCTCACCTGGTCATCCTGGAAGTCGGGCTGCAGAGGGACCCTGAGCAGAGGTGGGGCTGGGATCCTGTTTGGGGTCGAGGCGTCATCCTGGGCCTCGGCCTGCAGGGCCCCCAGCAGGGAGAGGCCCAGCCACAGGAGACCTAGGGGCATGATTCCAGTACAGCAAGAGGGGTTCAGGCTGCTGGGCCTGGGCAGTGCCGGAGGAGGTGACTGAGGAGGCTGGTCTCGGGATCCTATTTATGGTCCACCTTGGCACCAGCTGTCCAAGTCGGGGTGAATCACCCTTTGCCAAATACAGGAAGGTGAGGCAATTGCCAGCAACTGCTGTTGAAACACTTGGCAAGATTTCTGCCCCCCCCCCATTCCCCCCTCAGGATTATGCAAGGTGGAGGGGCAGGAAAGTCCAGGTGGGACATTCGCCAGCATCCTGTGCCCCTTCACTTCCCGCCCTGTTTGTGGGTTGGTGGTCTCCGATCTGGATGAACTGTCATTTCTGACCTTCAGGACCCCCCGCCCTGCCCAAGCCCATGGTGAGGCCCTGCTCCCTGCACACGGTGAAAGCAGAGACGGCTGCACTCCAACAGATCAGGTGCTGTTTGCAGGTTCCCGGACGGGACGGGTGGGGCAGCTACACATAGACAGTCCCCTGGAGACAACATGGTGCGCTCCCGTGCCCAGATCCGGGTCCCCTGGGGCCCCATGCCAGGCCCTGGCACAGAGTGGACCCTCCTAGGGCTGATGTGGGAGGGCTCCCCGCTTTGAGTCACCCCCTTCCCTGTGCCCCATTGGCAGGAGTGGCACAGGTGACGACTGAGCCCTAAGAATGTGGCCCCTCCGTGGGCCCAGTAGACCATAGCCTGGCACATGAGCCACCCACGTGGCTTCTCGCAAGGCACAGGCTGTTGTCCAACTCCTTCCCGGAGGGGACAACGAGGAGCTTGTGTGTGCACTGGGGGCTGAGGAGACAGTGGGGTGAGGTGGATATTGCACCCCGCTGCTCTGGACACTAGAAGCTTTGGGTCACAGGACGTGAAAGGACCTAATCTTATCCCCGAGACATCTTTAAGGTCACTGGCCAGCCCCGGCCACAGTCTTGGGCTGTGGAACTCAGTGGCCTGGGCCCAGGCCCCAGACACGGCTGACCCCAGCGGTGTCCTGGAGGGACGCGGTTTCCTCACTGGGGGCCTGGCTGTCCTTGGCCGGCGATGTGGGTCCCGGCCCCTTTGCCATGTCCCGCAGATGGCTCTTCCATGAGGGTCGTCGCCTGCCCTGAGGCTGAATGGCGGGTGCACGGGCCTCAGGTGACACTGACAGGGACCTCACTGGTTCACCAGTGAGGAATCAGCTCACCAGTCTGGGCTCTGGAGCTGGGGGGCCGCAGGGAAAGAGCCTTCCGGGAGGGGGGTGTCCTGGGCTGTGGTGGTTAGGGTGCACACAGGCCTCCATAAGGCAGAGAGCTCCCTGCCAGCCCCTCCCGCTGTGGCAAGCCCAGCTGCCATCTGGGTGGTGAAAGCGCAGGGAGGGAAGATGAACACAGCCCGGAGATGGTGTCGCCACAGCCCGCCTGCCCCGTGGGGGGCCAGTGCTCCCATCCCTGTGTGCTACCCAGAGGCTCCATCCCGGCTTTACCCTTTGACCATAAAAGGTATCCCCCAAATCTGCAGTGACTTGGCTGAGGGCCAGACTACAGATGGAGCCCTCATGGGGGTCCGAGGACGGTCGTGGCCAAGACAGATATCGGGCAGGGTAATGGCTGCTCCCAGCCCTCGGAAATTGGGTGCTGGAGCTGGAGTCCAGCATGGCCGTGGGGCTGCAGTATGGACCTGCTGGGATTCCAGCCGAATCCAAGGGCTCCAGGGCGGACAGGACCTGGGTCCCAGGCCAAGGGACTGGCGGGGTCAGTGCCCAGGGCTGCCACCCCAGGAGGGTGCACATGTCCCGAGTGAAGCTGCTCAGAAGCCTGGGGACCAGCCCTCCCGGGAGAGGCAGGCTGGGCCTCCCAACCCTGTCTGGGTCTCTGCAGCTCTGGTGGGGACTTAAAAACCACCACACCAGGGCTCCTCTGCAGCAGGGCGCCAGGGGAGGCCGGCTGCTCCGGAACACCCCACTGACTCGGGCAGCTGGCCCTTCCCCTAGCAGCCATGTCCGCGGGTCTCTCACCTAGCCACTCCTGGGCCCCCGCCATGTTCCCGGCTCCCCAGGCTTTGGGCTGGACCCCTGCTGGACACCAGCACTGGCGTGAGAGGAGGGGTCTGGCTCTCCAGAAAGGCTCGTTCTCCTTTGAACCCTGAGACATGCCTGGGGGGTCTCCCGCCCTGGGTCAGGGTGGTGGGCGCCCGGAGGATTAAGTGAGAAAAGTGTCAGAGGTGCTCAGGCTCTCTGCCTGATCCCCCCTGGTGCCTGCGGTCTGGGGGCTGGAGCCTGAGCCAGCTGGAGACCTGCAGTCCCTGGGCACTCCTCTCAGCAGTGGGGGAGGCAGGGCCCTGGCTGCTCCTGGCACCAGGGAGGCACCCGCCTTCCGATAGGAGGGTGTCAGTGACTGAGTGGCTCCCTGGAGGGGTGGGGGTGGGACATGAGCAAGGCCGTGCCCTGGTGGGGGTGTGGGGGTGCCGAGCATTTGGGGAGTGGGTCTGGTCCCTCCCTCTGTAGCCTGAGTGGCTCAGGCCTTGGGCCACCAGTCTCCCCGGGTTCAATGCAACTCCGCGTCCCTCCCATGAGCTCAGCCCAGGGCTGAGGACTGGGTGACCCTATATAACTCCGCTGGTTCTGCTCTTGTCCCTGAGTCCCCCTTCTCTTGGGCCACTGTTAGACTGATTTTGTGCCCCCCCCCAAATTCATATGCTGAAAGCTAGTCCCTAATGTAGCGGTACTTGGGGGTGGGTCCTTTGGGGGGACTAGGGTGCAAGGGTGCAAGGGTGGAGGCTTCATGAAGGGGACTGGTGCCCTAGGGAGACCCCAGAGGGTTCCCACGTGCTCTTTCTGATGCACGTGGACAGGGACTGGGTGGTCTGTGGGCCAGGAGAGGGGCCCTCAGCAGACACTGACTCTGCCAGACACCTTGACCTTGGACTTCCAGCCCCCAGAGCTGAAATGAACTGTCGTCTGGACGCCACCCATCTAAGGTATTGCTACAACGCCACTCCCCAGACCGCTGTCTCAGCCAAGACCAGAGGCCTCCTGTGAAGCCATAGACTTGGTCTTTTCTCCAGGGCACTTTCCTAACACAGAACTTCCTATTTTTACCATCTTTTGCAATCCAGATAGGCTGAGAATTCTCCAAATTACTACCACAAATGATCGCCAGCTTATTGACTTCAAACCACATCTTGTCATTGTAAAGGCCAGAAGTCCAGTCATAAGGTCAAGGTGTGGGCAAACCCCTCCCTCCCCTCTCCCCACCCTTCCTGGGGAGCTCTAGGGGGCTATTCCTGCCTCTTTCACCGTCTGGAAGCTTTTGGCATTCATTGGTTATGACCACATCTCTGCCAGTCTTCACATGCCCTTCTCCCCATGTCTCTCTGAGCCACTTTGATGACATTTAGGGCCTCTGGAATAATCCACACGGTGTCTTGTGTGCAATTCCAGTTGTTTTAAAAGGTGGAATAGGGCCTCCCTGGTGGTGTAAGGGGTTAAAGTCTCAGTACTATGAAGCTATCAGCAGCCGCTGCAACACGAGTTCAATCCCTGGCCAGGGAGCTGACCCACATGGCGCAGCTGACCTCTCCTGTCTCCCCGCTGCTCCCCTCAGCAGTGTGTTTTCATCAATCTGCCTGTTCTGCTCCCTCTCTCTAGTGAAGCCTCTCACCCTCTGTACCTCTGGCCTACACCCCACTTCTTGTATGCATAAATAAAATAAAATTTTTAAAAAGAAAAAGTAGCAGTAAAGAAAAAAAATCTTTCATCTTATTTGCAGGAACTCTTGTCACACATGTTGTTACATTTACTGGCTCCAGGGATTAGGCCATGAGCAGCTTTTGGGGGTCATTTTTCAGCCTGCTATATTTGCCCAGATTCATATAGATTTCTTCTTTCCACACCCCAAGCTCCAGCTTCTCCTCACACCCAGGCCTGTTCACAAAGGCACTTGGGCTCCTGTCAGGAGGGGTCCTGGGCAGCCTGGCTTGTGCAGGTAGCTGCAACGACGGCTCTGGGGCTGAGGCGCTCCAGGACTCACTCTGTCCCAGCTTGGGCCCCAGCAGGTGCTGTGGCTAAAGCTGGGGCCTGGTCCTTTTCCCACTGTCTACTTTTCCTGCCTTCCGCTCTCTCACGCCTGCCTGGTCAAGGGCTGTACAGTCTTCCAAGTGCAGGGCAGGTGTCCGTCTGTGGGGTATGTATTAGGAGGCCCTAATACCAAGGATCCAGCCGAAGGTGCTTGCCTTGAGCCCATAGAGGGCGTCTGCAGCTCTCAACCCACCCAGCGTTGGAGGGTGGGAAGGCTTTGTGCGTTCCAATATCCCAAACTGGTCTCATCTCCCTCTCCCAGCAGGGGACCCCCAGGAAAGCAAGTGATCGTTCTCTCATGCCAGCTCTTTCGGCGTGCCCAGGTCCCCGTTGCGCCCCGACATTGCGGGCTCGGGCTGCGTAGGGGTCTCGCGGCGGCGGAACCCGACAACCGTCGGGCCCACAATTGGTGCCCAGCGGGAGGCGGGTAGAAAGCCGCGTGGGACCACCCGCTCGAAGCAGCAAGACAGCCTAGCCCCGCCCCTTCCTCAGCTAGATCCCGCCCCCACGAGCGTAGCCCCGCCCCCTCCCCGCGGAGCTTGCGCATCTCGCTCCGAGAGCAGAGCTCCTCCTCCTCCCGGTGGTCAGCCCCGCCCCGCCCGCCCCCGCGCGCCGTCAGATCTCCGCCCACTACTCTGGGCTGCCCGCGGAGAAGCCTAGGTGGTGGAGGCTCCCGCCCTCAGCTCCGGGGAGCGAGCCGGCAGGCGGGGGAGGCGCCCTGGGACCCCCTACCTTGCCCCATTCTGCCGCTGGGGACCCCCAGCGCCTAGCCGGCGCCCCGGAGTGAGCGAAGTCTGAGACACGTGCTTCCTAAGGCCCCCGCTGCATAGGGACATTTTTATGGTTCGGGCCACCGGAGTGGTGCAGTGGTGCGGGAGGGCAGAAAAAGGCCTAGTCACAGGCGCGGGTCCTGCCGAGCTGTGTGTGGGCCGTTTCCGCAGCCCCAGTGGGCCCGAAACCTTCCCCCTTTCCTTGACACTTCAATTTCTCTCGATTAGACGCAGAGGTATATACTAAGCATATATTATGGACGACTCAGGGGCTCCGGGGCCACATGGGTATTCGGCCCCGGTCACCCCTGAGACCCATTACCCTAAAAATTCAGAAACCCGAGTCTTTTAGGGACTCCCAGATACCCCGCGGGTGTTTGTGCAACTCTGACGGGTTTTGGGGAGCTGCGCGCGGGGCAAGCACGCCCATTCCCGGGAGGGCCGTCCCTCCCCGCTCGGCGTCACCGTCACCCCTGGCAACCGCTGGGCTTCGGGTCTTGCCCCTTTAAGCCGGAGCTTCCGCGGCTTTCGTTTCGCGCGCCCGCCCGCGGCACCAGCGGAGCTAACATGGCCCAGGCCGCGCGGATGCTGTGGTCCGGCGTGCGCTCGGTGGCCTGGAGGCTGGGTGGTCGCCCGTGGCCCGGGCTCCCCGAGAGTGGCCGGGCCGGCTTCGCCGGGACAGCTGGAGGCCCGGGCCCGGCCGCCACAACTCTTAAGGGGAGCCCGCGGCTCCTGGGGGCGGCGGCGCTGGCCCTGGGGGGCGCCTTGGGGCTGTACCAGACGGCTCGGTGGCACCTGCGTGCCCAGGACCTGCGCGCCGAGCACTCGGCCGTGCAGGTAAGTCCGGGCCGGACGGGGCCGCGCTGGCGTCAGCGCCGAACTTGGGCACCTATGGGGTCGTCTTCCCGCTGTTGTGACCTTGGGCGAGCGACTAGGTTTTACGACTCCAGTCCTGAGCGTCCTCATCTAGGAAATGGGGTTCCTGAAAGAACCAGCCAGGACTGTTGACTTGTCTTCACGTCGTTTTCGAACGTGCTTTAAGACTTCACAACGGATTGGGAGATCAAAAACAGTGATCTCCACTCTTAAAGTTCTTCACCTTGTCGCTTCCCTCTCATCTGGCCAAGTCCCCCCTGTAGCATTTTTATGGAACCGGTGACCCTTAGGCCCCAGGAGGTGTCCCTCCGGCCCAGCCTTTGCGAGGTTTTGTCTGCAGCTCCCAAACAGCTTTTCTTTCTCTGCCCCTCTCCACTACCCACAGGTGCCCTGCTCCTGGACCCAGGGCCACAGGGGATGGACAGGAGTTCTCTGCCCAGCCCCCAGGCCCAGTCTGTTTTGTTAGAAAAGAAAGGAGGCCGAGATTATGAGATGGAAGCAGGCTTTATTTGGTGAATGCCAGTGAGGGGCAATTCTCGAGGCTGCAGAATGAGCTGCAGAGTGAGAATCGCGACCGGAAATGGGGAGACCACATCTTTATAGGGTCAGGCTGCTGCCCCAGTTTTTTGGTGCTGGGGGAGTGGCGGTGTGTCTCTCCTGCCAGGAGGAGGGGTGCTGGGGTTTACTGCTGTCAGCTTCTCTCCGGTGCCTGGGCACAGGGGCGTGACGGTTTTACTGTGGGGATAGGCCAGTGAGTGGGAGTGGGCCAAGGAGTGCTCTCGTCGTGTTTCCCCTCTGAACAATGAGGGGTGGACTGCATTTGTGGCTTTGGAATGTGAAGGTGCAGCAGTCTCACCTGGGGCACAGGCCAACCCAGGCTCAAGGCCCAGGCACTACCCCACCTCTTGAGGTGTCAGGCAGGTGCTGCCCTGGCCAGTTGGGCTGCTAGCCAGGTGGAGCCCAGCTGTGCTCCCTCACCCAGAGGTCCTGGGACTGGGGGAGTAGGACTGGCCCTCCACCCTCGTGTTGAGACAAATGCCCCGGGGAGGTCAGACCTTCCAGGGGTACCCAGTGCCCCTCGGGATAGGAGGGAGAGAGGCGTCTGTCCAGTGTTGGATCGAGACCAGAGATTCCTCCTACACAGCTGCATGGGTGCTTCGGCCTGGCTGTCCATGCACAGAGAACCCTGGACCTCTCTTCCTGCCCAGCCCGCACAGACCCCCCTTCCATCCCTCCAGTGTCCACCCGGGAGACTGCCCTGGTACATGTGGGCTCGGGGTGGCTCCTAGGACCAGGCCTCAGGAGCCCCCTCCCTCTGCTCTCTTCACAGCTCTCCCTGTCCAGCAGACTGCAGCTGACCCTGTACCAGTACAAAACATGTCCCTTCTGCAGCAAAGTCCGCGCCTTCCTCGACTTCCACGCACTGCCCTACCAGGTGGTGGAGGTGAACCCAGTGCGCCGGGCAGAGATCAAGTTCTCCTCCTACAGAAAGGTGCCCATCTTGTTGGCCCAAGAAGGAGAGAGCTTGGTGAGCTGCTGGGACTCCAGGGCCTGGGCTGCCCTGCAGGGCCCCCACGGGCCTTAGCTCTCGGGACCCCAGCTGAGCACTAGGATAGCAGGTGGCGGTTCCACAGTGGGTGCCCAGGGACTGCAGGCTCTCTTCCACCCTCCCCTGCCGACACCAAGCGCCGGCCGGCTCAGACAGATGTGGACCCCTCTGCAGGGCTCTGCAGGCTGAGAGCTGGGTGTTCTGGGTCCCAGAAGAGGCTCTGCCGTCACAGGCTGTGTGACCTGGGGCCAGTCACTTAACCTCTCTGGATTTCCAGCTTCATTCATTGAGGACCATCCTCTCCTGGGTGTAGGAATAGCAGATCTGAAATGCCCGGCACGGTGCTTGGCACCCATGCTATAGCTTCTAAAGTACGCCCTGCCCCTCAGTGCCAGGCGGGTGAGTGGGTGGGACCAGACCAGGGGGCCGTCCCACACCTTCCTCCCTTTCAGCCACACTTGGGTCTCCATGACTTAGATGGGCCAGGCCTGGGTCTTTCAGGGAGAGGAGAGGCCATGACGTCAGTTTTAGGGGTGAGCCCCATGGATGGATAGCCTGGGGCCAGGACCAGCCCCTGCTGGTCCTGCCAGCTTGGGCTCTGCCCCGCAGAGGTCCGCAGGAGGACCTCAAGCAGCGCCCTCTCCTCCAGCAACAGCTGAACGACTCCTCCGTCATCATCAGCGCCCTCAAGACCTACCTGGTGTCAGGGTAAGGAGCCGGGGGGGTGGGGGGACCCTGCTAGCCCCGGAAGGCCTCCCTGAGTTCCTGTGGCGGGACAGGTGGGCCTGCAGCTTCGGCCTCCAGGATCCACCATAGGCACCCTCCTCCGAGATGCCCCTCATCCCCCTCACTCCCGCAGGGGCGTGCCCCGGCCCCGCGGGGGTCCCCCGCGGCCTGCCGGGAGGGCTGGCATTCCCCCTGAGGTGCGGGCTGGGGCTAGGGCGAGACTCTGCGTGTCTCCCGAAGGCAGCCCCTGGAAGACGTGGTCACCTACTACCCGCCCATGAAGGCCGTGAACGAGCAGGGCCGGGAGGTGACAGAGTTCTGCAACAAGTACTGGCTCATGCTGGACGAGACGGAGGCCCAGCGCCTGTACGGGGGCAAGGACGCGAGGACGTGAGTGGGCTGCGGGCAGGCGGCGAGGAGGGTCTTCCCACGGTCAGGCTGGGGCGGGCAGCGGGGAGCCGCCTGGCCACCTCTGTGCCCTGGGCCCGCAGGGAGGAGATGAAGTGGCGGCAGTGGGCGGACGACTGGCTGGTGCACCTGATCTCCCCCAACGTCTACCGCACGCCCGCCGAGGCGCTGGCCTCCTTCGACTACATCGTCAAGGAGGGCAGGTTCGGGGCCGTGGAGGGCGCTGTGGCCAAGTACGTGGGCGCTGCTGCCATGTACATCATCAGCAAGCGGCTCAAGAGCAGGTGAGTGCTCACGCGGCCCGGGGCCTGCTGCCCCAGCTCCCCGCCCCCCTCCCCGACTCCGGGGGGCAGGGCGGGCCTTGGAGTCCAGAGCCTTGTCCACACCCCCCACTGTGGTTGAGCCTCCAGTTCTGCAGGGGCAGGGACTCCCCGTCTGGAGCAGACGATCCCTGAGGCGTCTGCGGCCCCCAGGCCTGCCTGCGCTCCCCACCTGGGCTGGCGGTCAGAGCTCCCCTGATGGGCCACTCCCGCCCCGCCAGGCACCACCTTCAGGATGACGTGCGTGAGGACCTCTATGAGGCCGCCGACAAGTGGGTGGCAGCGGTGGGCAAAGACCGGCCCTTCATGGGGGGCCAGAAGCCGAACCTGGCTGACCTGGTGAGTGTGGTCTGGGCTGGGGCCCAGCAGGGGCCTGTCCTTGCATTTGGGATTTGGGGCCCCGATACAGGCAATACCTGCCCCGCCCCACCTCCCCTCCCCCCCAGCTTCTCTGGGGACACCTGCCCCGTGTGTCCTTAGTGAAAACCAGCTCTCTCGGGTCACCTGCCGAGTCCACTCAGGCCGGCGGATCCAGGGCCCGAGGGCGGTTCCCAGGACGCAGCCTGCTGCATCTCACCTCCCTGGTGAGGCTTCAGCTCGTCTGTCCTAGGAGAGGGCATTGCCCGGAGGAAACTGGTGGGGCTGCTGCTCAGGAGAAGGTGCGCGCGGGGGGCAGGCCGACCCGCAGCTGTCCCCTCACCCCCACGTCCCCCACAGCACCCCATGCGCAGTGGCCCCATGATGTGCTTGGAGAGGGGAGGTGACATCTCTGGCAGAGGGCAGGGCCGGCCTGGACGCCGCTCTGGAGCAGCCGCGTGACGGTGCTGTCACCCCGCAGGCCGTGTACGGGGTGCTGCGCGTGATGGAGGGCCTGGAGGCCTTCGACGACCTGATGCGCCACAGCCGCATCCAGCCCTGGTACCTGCGGGTGGCGAAGGCCATCGCTGAGGCCCCCCAGTGAGCGGGTGGTGGACGATGCGGGCTTCCCAGGACCTGAGCCCAGGCCTGCCCCGCGCCGTGCGGGCAGGAGCGCGCTGCCTCTGCCCCGAGCCGGGGGCCCTGCTGGATCGCTTGGGCCAAGGCCAGGCTTACTCATTGCAGCTCACCGTCCCCCAAGGGGCGCGGGGTGCCCGCCTCCTGCCCTGCCCCCATCCAGGGACTGCCCCACTCCCGCTGGGCCTCTGCCCTCCAGCCACTCTGCGACTCTGGCTGCCCCAGAGATCCTCTGTGGTTGGGAATCGCGTCGGACTCCTGCGCGGGACCAGGAAAGGAGGGACAGTGGGCTTGGGGGGCCTGCCCTTCCCAGGCGCCCTGGAGCTGTGTGTTTGTTGGCAATAAAGCAGTGCCACCCCTGTGGGGGCGCCGTGCGACCCGAGGTCACTGGGAGCCGGGGCAATGCTACACCCCTCCATCTGGGGGGACCGAGCAGGCTTTGTCGCGTCACCCCCAGGATGCCACTGCTGGGTGTGCAGAGGGAGGCTCATACAGCCCCGACGGGGACCGGGGTGGCGCCCCTCTCCGCCCCCCAGCAGTGAGAGTCGCCTGGGGCTGAGTGACAAGACGCAGGGCTGGGCTTGTCTCTGTGGACAGGTCAGGTGTCCCCAGGCGTTCCCGGCACCTTCTAGATGCCCCCAGACCACAGGGGCCCTTTGGACGAGCCAGCCTGGGAATGTGGAGGGGCTGTGCCCTGGGTGGGGTCCCAGGCCCCTGGGTTTCAGAAGCCCAGTGGCAGAGTAGCCGTGGGGTTCCCTCCAGAACCAGGTGCCCGTGGGCCCTCCAGTGAAGGCTGTGGTACCCCCAAGCCCCTCGGGGTTTAAAATTTCATTATTTAAAAACAAAAACAATTCACTTTCCTTGTAGGAACAAGCTCTGCCCCAGGCAGGAGCGCTCTGGTCACCCCTCCGGGGTGCATGTGCCCTGCCGGTCTGCGCTGGTGGGCACCCATGGAAGTCGTCCCTGGGGGCGGGAGTCGGGGTCACCGCTTGGCTGGTTGGCTGCTCCTGGTGTGCTGGTCAGACCTCAAGTCCTGAGGGCCCCAGGCCCCCAGGAACCAGGCCTGGGGTGCCGAGGGGTCCTCCCTTCCCTGTAGCTCCTCCCTGCTCACTTCCGCTCTGCCTTTTCCCGCTGCCCTCAGGTGGGGGCTGCCCTCAGGCCCCACCGGGGTTCCTTGGTACCTTCCCAGCCTCAGTCCCAGGTCCCAGGGGAGCTGATGACCCCAGCGTGGGCCCCTGGGCTGTCTGCGAAAGTGCTGACAGAGGGTCTCCCCGCCCACCCTCGCCCTGGGCTCCCTGCCTTCTCTGCCCCTGGCTCTCTGCCCCTGGATCAGCCCTGACTGGGTTTCAGCCCTGCTTCCTCCGAGCCCAGGGCAGGGGGGCCTTGGCTGCAGGCCAGGCCTCAGCGGCCACTCTCCTCTCCTTTCCGCTGGGTCTCTGCGTTTCAGTACTGCTGGCTGAACCGTGCTGGGGCCGGTGCCTGACTCAGGGCTTTTTTTTTAGACTTATTTATGCATATGAGACCTGGGGTACGGGCCAGAGTGCAGCCGGTGAGGAGTCACCGGAGACAGTGGGGAGCAGAACAGGCAGATGGACTGAAGTCCACTGCTGAGGGGAGCAGTGGGGAGACGGGAGAGGCCTGCTGTGCCCTATGGGTCACTCCCTGCCTCACAGCACAGAGACTGAACCCCTGGGGGGCCTCCCCCCAGGCTCTTCCCTCAAGGGCTTCTTTTTCCCCTGGGGCTGTAGCCAGCCTCGGAGCCTGCCCACTCCCATCTTACCCTTCTCCACTTAGTGGAAAAGTTCAAGGACGCATTAGTCAGACCTATTCCCCGTGACAGGGCCTGGAGAGTGACCAGTCAACCCCTCGGCCTTGATGCTGAGTGAGTGAGCCGGCTTCTTTTGCCTTCCCAGCTGGGGCCAATCTGGCCCCATTTTGCACAGATGCTTCCCGGCTGGGCCCCAGCGTGTCTTCTCACAGCCACCAGAGGGCAGCAGAGGATGCAAAAACGCTATAGGAGATGGCGTCACTTCTGGTTCCCACACCTTAGTGCTGCTCTGGGCTTGCACCCTCTGGGTGGTCTCTGAGACAGGGTTTCTGTTTGCCCAGCCCTCAGTGGGCTTAACAGGCCAGGGGCTGTGGTGCCAGGTAGAGGTCATGTCCCTTGGGAAGGCAGGCCAACCAGAACTCCCACCCATCTCTGTCGTGGTCAGGTTGCAGTCTGGCCTTGGTGGCAGAAGGCCTGAGGTTGTCACCCTGCCCTGTCCACTAGGGCAAGCCTCTCCTTGGACAGCCCTTGGGGATCAGGGCTGGAAAGGCTGAACTGTGAACAGTGGACTCACCACGTGAGGGGTGTTTTCACGCCATCGGTGGGGTCCACACTTCCTGTCAGCTCCCAGGGCTCCCCGAGATCCCCATTAGGAGCTAAAAAGAGCTTCAGGAAGGAAGGAGAGAAGGAGGGTTGTGAGGACAGAGATCCTTCCTCCCCCGGGGGGGGGGCGGGGCAGGGGTTGTGCCAGGGCAGCTTCAAGGATTAGTGGTTTGCATTTTCTATTGTTAGACTATTAATTTTTAAATTTTCACTTTGACTATGCAAGTTATGTTGATTGTACGTAAAGGGAACTTGCAGAGAAGCAAAGAGATGGTACCACATTTCAGTCTTGCTGCCCAGAGAGATTACAGCTAGATCTATCAATTAAGTGGGGCCTGTTCTGTGGCAAGGACCATCTGAGCACTTAATCGTTGTAGCGTCCCTGCAGGTCCCGATACCCCCATTTTACAGGTGCGGGCCTGGAGGCTTCCAAAGTTTAGTGACTTGCCTGGCCTCACAGGAGAGTCAGCAGCAGGATTTGAACGCTCATCTGCTGGCTCCGGTCTGTGATCTTAATCACAGTGTCCTTTTCCTCCTCTCTCTGGGCCGATTTCTCTTTTAAAATATACATGGGGGCCCCAGAGCAGCACCTGGGTCTCAAGCGCACTCCCCCTTGCCCCGCGGTGTCTGACGGGGGATCCCGCAGGGCCCGGGTCCTGGGAGCCTCCTTCGCTCTCGAGCCAGTGGAACGGGAGGGGTCGTGAGGGCATCCAGTGGGCACAGAGCTTGTAATGAGCCCAGTGTGGTGGGCTGAACAGTGGCCTCCCCAACTTGTCCATGGAATCTGCTACATGGCACCTTACGGGAGTGTGATGAATGGGTTTGTGAGGGGCTGTCTGCGGTGGTCCA